GGGGCTCTTCGGAGAGGGGCGGCTCTCGCTCGAGGACCGGAGGAGACTCTTTGGTTGAAGAGGAAGATGGAGTTGAAACGAAAGGGCTGTGCTCTAGCCGCCTGCTCTGAGCGCCACGGCCAGGGCTGCGTGGTGCGGGAAGACCTTCCTCCTCTTGACACTCAGACCTCTCTAGGGCATTCACCTGGCACAGCAACACACACAGATGAAAGCGCGCTCGGCCCGGGCAACACCATGCACACCGCAGAGGCGAAGCAAGCAGCGCCGGGCCGCTGGGGCAGGGTGCGGCGGCAGCGCCGGATCTTGCCTACCTTCCGTGATGGCTCATGGCTCTTCCTGGGCTTCTTCTTGGGCGCAAAGATATGGTCGTACTCCTCAGCATACTCCAGCAGCCGCTTGCTCGGCTTCCTCAGGCGCTTCCGCTCCGAAATGACTGCGAGCAACAGAGAGCGGCGTCAGCTCTTGGGGCTAGGATGAAACCCCCACAGGGGCCTCCTCCCAGGCCTAACAGACAGAAAGGCTCAGAGCCGCCCGAGCCCTGGACCTCGCTGCAGTCTCTTTGATCCCTGATCTTGACTGCCCGGGACTGGCAGAAGGGCCTGATCTCCCAGAACGGGGCGCCCTAGGAAGCCAGACCCCGCATCCTGTGTCCCACGCTCCGGAGCCATGGCACCTCAGACGCCTGCACCCACAGCCCTGTCAGCATCACTTGCTGCCAAGCCTTGCTCCAGCAGTACCCAGCCTGGCCAGGCAGCCCCTGCCTATCCCGTGCGCTGTGGTCCAGGCCGAGAGGGCTGCTCTCCTCAGCGCGGCTCTGGGGCAGCCCAAGTTCCACCACCAGCTGCTGCAGATGCATCGTTCAGGTTGCAGGGTCACCTGCCCCTACCCACGTCCTGTTTTCTTCCACGTGGCGTTGCGCCTGGAGGAGCCGGCAGCTCTTGCAAGACTCTGCAGGGAAGTGCCTGCGCCAGGCGCCCTGCCTGCATCCTGAGGAAGCCTCTCTGGGCTTGGAGATGCCTTATCAGGGGTTCCCAAGTGCTCCTGGACGGGCTGCCAGGAGATCACCATGGTGAGGGCCACCCAGCCAAGGCAGCGTCCCGTCCATGCCAGGAGCCTGATGGAGCAGGAGCCATCTCCAGCCCTGCCCCTGGGCTATGGGGCAGGGCACATGGTGCCCACAGCCTGCCATCAGCTTGCAAGTGCCCCTGGCTGCCTCTGGGCTGGGCAGTGCCCTGCACCCTCTGTCCTCTTCTGCCTTTGCTGGTTGAAGGGCTCCTTAAATGAGAACCCCAGGAGATTTTCACAGGTCAACCCAGTGCTTCATGCTGGAATGCCCTGGGGTCTTGAGAACAAGGAGAGAATAGCCTCTGTCCCACACAAGGCTCCAGCACGTGTGTGGGCTTGCATTTGTGTGTGCACAGCAACATTCACATACACATGCGCATGCATGTAGGAGCTGCCTACCCGTCTACATCTCGGCAGTCGTGTTCCTAGCACAGCTCTCCTACACAACCCCAGTGCAATGGAGGCGCCTGGACAGGGCGGCCAGGTCTTCCAGTGGCACATTGCTTAAACGAGTGTAAACCCACCAAAGCGCAGCAAGCAGTGCTGTCTGCTCATGACAGGCGCACTCTGCGTGGGGCAGCGCAGAGTAACCCCAGGCACAGTGTGGGGCAGCCTGGGGCCCAGGCATTCACGGCCCCTGGTACCTAGGACATAGCAACTGCAACGTGTGATCTTGTTGGGCTTTGCTGAGCCTCGTGGGCACTGGCGACCCAGTCCCTCCTTAGCCAGGCTGCTCGCTCTACAAGGACACCCACATTCAGCCACTTGCAGCAGCTCCTGCCCTGGGCAGACCCAAGACGTGTCGCTGGCCAGGAACACGTTGAATTTCCCCTCACTGCACATCCTGACTGCAGGGGATGACCGCAGCTGCAGGGTGGCGACATTCAGGGCACTGTACCTGGGGAACACACAGCGCCAGGTGCTTCCCCACCTGCTAGGCACCGCGGTGACAGGCAGGTCCAGCAGCTGCCAGGACATGTTGCAAAGCCAGCCATGCTTTCCCAGGCAGGCTCCCAGGGAGGGCCAGGAGGGTAGAGTCTGGGCTGGACTTTGGTCTAGTTTCTACCTGCAGAATTGGATGCCTGCTGGGAGATCAGCCTGTCCCGTGCACACTGCCCCCAGCCCCATGCACCCGCCTTGCTACGCTGCTGCCTCTTCTCCTGGGGACACCCCACAACCTGCCCCCACTCCCCCAGGCCCGCTGCCTCCCTGGGCTCCAGGCTCCCCTTACTCAGACTGTCCCTGCACGACTGCTGATGCCCTTCGTCAGTGCATGGCTCTCATGCCTGCAACATGCAGCAGGCTGGAGGCGGAGGTGGGTCTTCACTTGCTTGGTGAAACACCAGCACACCCCAGGGCCTCCAACTGCACCAGCCACTGGGAGCCTGCATGCTATTTGCAGTGGCAGCATCACCCACGAAGCTCCCAGGGGCACCCCCTGACTCAGCCCGTACATCCTCGTAGCTCCCAACTGTGCATGGCCCCCGCGTCACCACCTCTCACCTTGCTCCTGCTTGCAGCAGCCAGATGTGGCTCTGCTGGGAGTGCGGTGCCAGAGGCAGGTTATGGACCTGCGCAGGGAAAGGGAGCGGGACAACGGAACTGGGCGGGAAGCTGGGCAGAGTGGTCACGGCTGCAGGCAGCAGGATAACACGAGGGAAACCTGTGTCCATGCAGGCCGTACTGAACTTGGAGCAGCTCTCAACAGCGTGCTCGTCCTGTAGAGCAGAGCCTTGTGAAGTGTGCAGATATGCACATGTGCACACATGCATGAACATACATCCACATGCATGGAAGCCTCACTCCCTTACCTTGTGCAGGGAACTCAGCCCGGGGTGCAAAGCTGCCCAGATCCGGCTCCGTGTCAGGCTTGTCGCGTGCCGTCAGCCGTGGCATGGCCGAGTCCCGGTGGTTCTGGCAGCCCTGCCCTGCTGTGTTGCTTGGGCTGGGGGCAGGAGGCCTGTGCACCGTGCACTTGCTTCCCTTCAGCGGGAAGGTGCTGGGAGTCCGGCCCTGGAGGGCCCGCTGTGAGCTCCCTGGGGCCCGAGGCCGGCGGCCTTGCTTACTGGCTTTTGCATTGCTTTGGTTAAAACGCTGCCAGCGCTTCTTGGGCGCCACGTGGTTGGCACCGCTGGACTCCTCACCCAGGGAGCACTCGCTGTTGGCCTCCGAGTCCAGCTCTGGGCTCTCGCTGTTCTCGCAGCTCGGGCATCCCACGGAGGGGGTCTGAGCTGTCGGAGGAGCACACCGAGTCCTCATCGGTGGAGTGCCCCAGCAGCCCCAGGGGCCCTTTCCTTTCCGAGCTGCCCGTGTCCTTGCCCAGGGGACCTGTCCCTGCCCCCAGCACCTCTCTGCGCTTGCGGGACCCGCCGGCAGCTGCATCCCGCGAGAACCGCCCAAGGGCTGGGGCAGGTCTGTCCAGCTTCGCCTCCTTCCTGCTCCCCGCTCGCTTGGACGGTGGCTTGGGCTTAGCACTGTGGCGCCTGGCAATGCAGTTGGTGCCGTTGGAGCTGGAGGCTGGAGCACTGCCTGGCTCCCTCTTGCTGGCCCCGAGTCCAGGGAGCTTGGCCCCTGTGCTGGACAGGGAGGGTTCGCTTGCATTGGGGCTCTGCCGCGCCACCTCCGGGAGACAATCCCCATTCCGCTCCACCTTGAAACGGTGGCCCAGCGCAGGCAGCAGCTTTGGGGCACTGGCCGGGCCACTCCCGGGGCCGTCGCCACAATACACAGCCAAGTTCTGAGCCACCATGAGCTGCTGCTCCTTGGTCTTGCTGTCATGCATGTCCTTCAGCATCATCAGCAGGGTGCTGAACTTGTAGTCCGGCTCGATAGGCAGGCCGTGGCCAGAGGCAGATGTGAAAAGCGAGGGCACGGCGGGCTTCGGGGGCCCACCGCCACTCGCCTCCTCGCTGAGGGACCGGAAAGACAGCGAGTGCTTCACCACGGCCGCCTCCACCTCGGCTGCCTCCTGGCACTTCTCATGCACGTTGTTCAGCAGCCGCTGGCCGTCTGCCCTGCTGCCTTTGCCGAGCAGTTCCAGGGTGGTGCCAGGGAAACCTTTGGTGTCGGCAGTGCCGCGATGCGTGCCGCTCTCCTCCCGGGCCGGGCTGGGCTCTGGCCCTGCGGTGCGCAGGGTGCTTCTGCCTGACAGCAGCTGGAGGCTGTGAGGCGGTGCAGCCCCCTGGCTGGGCGCTCGGGCAGGAGGGCCAGTGCCAAGGGGCGTAGTGTGCTTGTCTGCAGGGGGGAGATTGTCGCGTCGGGTAGCCGCAGGGCACAGGCGGGCAGGGGTGGGTGGCTCAGCGTCTGAGGAGGCTTCTTCGACCTCCCCTTCTTCGGGTCCCGACTCAATGCTGATGGTGTGGGAGCTCTGCAGGGGTCGGTGGTCCCGATAGGCCCGTTTCCTGGCTCTCCGGCCACTGCTCTGAGCCAGGCGCACAGCACGGCTCAGGCTCCCACTGGCCCCAACAGGAAAGTCCTCATCCAGCGTCTCGTCGCTGATGTGCAGGGCGCCAAAGGCTCTCTCGGGGCTCTGGTCCATGAGGTCCAGGTCGCTATCCCCATCGTCCTCCGAGGAGGAGGAGGAGGAGGAAGAGGAGGAGGAGGAGGAGGTCAGCGAGTCGGAGTCGCTGTCCAGGTCCCTGGCGCCAGGCATGGAGTAACGGCTGTGCTGCTGGGAGCCACGGTAGAAGCTGCCAGGGCTGCCCCCCTCCGTGGAGGGGCTGGAGCGCGAGTCCCGCGGGGCGGCGCTGCTCGGGGCCCCGTATGTGTGCTCCTTCTCAAAGCGCCTGTCCCCAAAGGACGCCAGCAGGTGGTTTTCCTTGGGGCCGCCGGAGATCGTCAAGCTGCTTGCGATGCGCCGCAGCTCGTGGGACGCGTGCTTCTCCGGCAGGTTCCCCCCCAGCAAGTTCCTGGCCATGCTCCTGGGCGCCTGCCCCCCGAACCCCCTCTTCACCGTCTCCATCCGCACTCTGGTCTTTTTTACCCTCGTCCTCTTCCGGCTATCGGAGTTCTTCTTCACTTGTGATTTGGTGCCTGACTTGCCCTTCTCATTGCCCGTGTACCTGGAGGGAAATGCCAGGGAGCTGAAGCAGCCATTGAGCTGCCGGCCCCGCACCGTGCTGGGGCCGTTTGTGCATGGTGGCTGCAGCTGTGCCCCCTTCCTGCGGCCTGGCTTGCGGGGGCTCGGGCTGCGCATCCACTCCTCCAGTCCCTGCAGGAGCAGGTGTTCTGCCTGGGACACACCGACCTTCCACTTGGCCATGAACCGCTGAGGCACCTGTGAGAGGAGACAAACACAGGGACCATCAATGACATGCGGAGGAGGGGGAGAACAGACACAGCCTTGCTCCTGCAGCCCCTCCACAGCCTGGTGAATGCCACCCTGGACATGTGCACGAAGCACCAGAAATCCCCGCAGCAGCCCGGCTGCAGGACCTGCCTCTAGGCACCTCAGCCTCTGGGATTCACAGAAATCACAAGAGCCCCAGAGCCATGGGGCTGGCAGGGACCCCAGAGGTCACGTCCAGTCCAAGTCCTGCCTGAAGCAGGATCAGCCCTGTCCAAACCAGCCCAGACAAGTCCATCATCTAAACTACATAAGATACCATCAACCCTGGCACAACACAGACATCACACCTGACCCTGCCACAGGGGAAGCAGGGGACCACAGCCACCTGCATCCTGCTTCTACACAAGGCTGTTAATAGACGCACCAGAGACCCAGGCCAAGGCCTTGCCCCCACTGCAGAGAAAGCAAACTCCCCCCCCACCCTCCCCCCAGTCCAGACCAGTCTAAGCAGAGATAAAAACTTCTTCCTGACCTGCCTGAGCCTGAGCGTGGGGGCAAGACCCTCCAGCCAGGACCCTGTGGGACTGGTGCCAGCAGGAGCACTGGCACAGCCCAGTCCCTGTCCCCAGCCTGGGCTGCAGCAGCACCAGCACCAGCACCAGCGCCTCTGGGAGAGGCTTAAAAATCCTCCGAGGCATAGAGCAGAAAGGGAGCGACCAGCACAGTGCAGAAGGCTGGGACACCCCCATAGCAGAGCGCGGGCATTGGTGCATCTAGATCAGACGATGAACAAGGGTTTTAAGGACAATGCCGCAAGCCAACATCAACCCCAGGCCTGGGGTTGGCTTCTGTGCCTGCCCCTGCTCTTTCCAGGGTTACACACAAGATCTTACCGGCTCAGAGTAGCCAGGGGCTGAGCAGCAAACAGCCAGATGCTTGGGCGGCTCTGCAGGAGATCTGACACCAGCCTGGCACAGCACACAGGTAAAGCGGCTCTTCCCAGAGCTGCAGCCGTGCAGCCCAAACGCACAACAAGGTACGAGCCAGAGACCTCCTGGGGCCTCAGAGCACAGACAGGCCCCAGGGGAGCACAGCAGTGATGCCAGACTCTGGGATCAAGAACAATCCTCCTAGTCCCATGGCGAGTGCCCTGTCCAGGGACGGAAGGGGAACAGCATAGAGCCCCCATCTCCGATGGCAGCAAACATCTCCGGGGCTGTCCCCTTGTGGGAATGTGTCCCATGTGTGGAGGGGAGCACCCCCACCCTGCGACTCGGCAAGCAGCACTGTGCGCTCCTGTGCTCAGCACGCTCACCGCCTGCTTCCTCTGGGCACCTGGGCAGTACACTGCTGCACAGGGCACGACTGCTCCAGGAGCTCCTAGCACATGTTCCAGCTGCTTTAGCGCTGTGCCTGATCAGGTCTGGAGCAGCGGGGAATCGGCCAGAAGGGGGGCTGATGAGTCTGGGAAGCTATTTCAGCAAACCACTTCCAGACACCGAGTGGGTGGTGGCACTGATGGGTGCCAGCAAGTCTCTGGAGGCCCAGGCATGAGCCAGCTGTGCTGACAGATGCCGAGAAGGACCCACCATGCAAGCCCAGAGCACACAGCATGGAGCCCTACCTTATGCTTGTAGCCTTTTTCTTTTTGCTTCCCTCTCTTCCGCAGAACCGGCAGCTCTTCAAACTGGTGTCTGCCCTCAAAGGGCATGATTGCTTTCCCGGCCACCCAGGCCTTCTCTGAGGGGTCCCCCAGGGCTTCGACGTAGTATTCGCGGTATGGTCTCCGGTTGGACGCTGCGGGAAGGGACCAGAGGGGATCAGCGCCTTGCGTGCAATGGGGCAAAGGTGTTGGGAGCACAGCACAGACAGTGACATCTGTCCACTCAACCAGCACTGGCTTAACTCCCCATGCTCCTGTGTTACCGCTGTCCCGGGAGAGGGTGCCCCTGCCTCAGTGCTCCAGGCTCCTTGGCTGGCACCATGCACCCAGCAATGGGGACTGCTCTGAAACAGGTGATCTACAGACCCATGCACCTGCCTCCACTGCAGCAAAGACTCAAAGCTGGAGGGCAATGGGTTGGCAACTCCCCCCCACGAACACACGCCTGCCTCCCCTGCCACAGGGACATGTCCAGTGGCCACCTCTGCCTGGATTGCAACTTGTTCATGTTACACTGTCTCCCTGGAAATGAGCCCTGCTGTGCACAGGCTGCAACTTTAGGGAGGGAGCTCTCATCTTCCACCTTTGGTCCCCCTTCCTTGTTCAGCTGGTTACTGCCAGGCACAGCCCATTCACTCCAGATGCAAGGGGATGGGGCACCTTTGCAGGATGTTTCTCCCCACTCCACCCTGTGAGCATGCAGGTGGTGCCAGAGGAGCTGCAGGGTTACACAGGGTGCACGCATGCCCAGGGGTACCACTAGCAGGGTCACCACATGGCAGGCAGGTCAGAGGGCTCTGGGCAAAGAGGACCCAGAGCGGGCACTGGGCCCATGCATGGATGGGATGGCTGCGGGGCCCCAGCCCGGGTTGCGTTCTGCCCAGCAGTGCATGGAGACACCTTCCAGCTCCAAGGCATCCTGGTGCTTGAGACAGGGGAATGCCTTCACCCCTGGGTTGGCAGGAAGGGCAGCGTGCAACTCTGCCCAGGTGCAATGAAGCACCAGTCTGAACCTCTTTGGGCTCCTGATCCACCCCTCGCCCCTTCTCCCTGCTGGCCCTGGCTCCGGCTCCCACTGGCTGGGGCTGGGCTGCCTCTTTTTACCTCCGCCCTCGTCTCTTTGCTCAGTGCCATTCAGCACCATTGCCCATCTCAGGGCAGCAGAGCCCACAGAATCCCACACATCTGGCACATCCATTGAGTTTGGATGTGGGGCTGCTCGGGGGCTGCTACAGTGCACCCTCACTCTTGGAGAAGCAGGGGTGACGCACAGCTCACCAGCAGCCCCAGCCATGCAGGGGCGTTACCTTTCATCTTCGAGTGGCAATCCAGTGTCGGGTCGAGGCAGATGGTGCAGGGCCACCAGGGCCGGCGGCTGAACTTGGCCCAGACGAGGTCGTCCATGTCATACTTCACTGGCGTGGGCTTCTTCTTCACACGATGCTTTGGACAGAAACCAGAACAAGAGTCAGTGGCAGTGGATCAGGCATGGTGGTCACGTCCTGAGGGGTCACCCTGGGCCGCGTGCTCACTAACATCCCCGTGGGGCTTGCCTGTCCCCCAGCTCGCACCAGCACAGCCTGCAGTGTCCTAATGATGGGCACGAGGGCCAAAGCATACACCTGCCCACACGGTCATCTCTCCGGCCTCTATGCCTCACTGAACCATGATGCTGAAGCTGCCAGGAACCTACTTGCTACAGGGCAGTTGCTCACATCCACATTATTAGCAAAGGAGAACTGGCCCGGGGGGTGCAACAGCAGGGATCCGCCGGGCACAGAAAAAGCGACAGTAAATCCTGCTCCGCAGAGCCGTGCTGAGGCCCCAACATGTTGATGTGCTGAGTTGGGAGCCAGAACTGCACCCACAGCATCAGCAGAGATCTGCACCACAGCGTCCCCCGACCCACCGGTCTGCCCTCGAGGCCACAGCACGATCATTTTAAATGCTGGTTACACTAGTTTTTTTGGGGTGGGAGCAGAAGCAGCTGCCGAACAGCAGCACTGCACTGAACCTCCAGATGTGCCACGAACCCCAACCTGCAACATCAGAACAGGGAGATGGGTGGTTCTGCTCTACTCGGCACTGGGGAGGCTTCACCTGGAGAACCAGGTCTGGTTTGGGGCCCTGCACTTCAAGAAGTTTGGGATGAACCCAGTGCAGAGCAACAAAAAATGATTAGGGGCCTAGGAAGCAAGACTGAGCAAAGGCTGAAAGAGCCAGGGCTATTTAGAGTGGAGAAGGGAAGACCGAGGGGGGATTGGATAAGTCTTCCGACACCTGGAGGGTGATTACAGGGAGGACAGAGATGGGCTTTACTCTGCGGCTGCAGGGGACAGGACGAGGAGCAATGGCCTCAAGCTGCAGCAGGGGAAACTGAGGCTGGAGAGGAGGAGCTTTCTGGCTCCGGGGGTCCAGCACTGGAACAGGCAGGGAGAAGCTGTGGAGTCTCTGCCCCTGAAGTTTTCAAGAGCAGGTTGGACAGGTCCTTGACTGGGAGGGTTCCTGCCTGGACTAGATACGACCTTGTGAGGTCCCCTCCTGCCCTGTGACCCTGCCACTTTCAATATTTAGACTGGGGATCTTCCCCCTGCACCCCAAAACCCTTAGACAGAAGTCACTGACAGTGACTGAGAAGCCGTAGGACCAGGGAGGGCCTGCTGGAAAGTACAGCACCACCACAACAGCTTCTTGCACAGAGCTCGACACGCCCTTTCCAGCTGGGGAAAGCCGCCCGCAGCAGTCCCAGCTGTTTGGAGCACTTTACATCAACCTGAGGCCAGGACCGGGTCCTGAACTGGACTCTGGACAGTTTCATATGCTGAAGGGAGCAGGAACGGACTTGAGGCGGCTTGGAGCAGGGATCGCGTGTCAGTGCGCAGCTCCCGAGTGATCGGTGGTTGGTAGGAGCTCAGCTACGTGGCCCTAGACTTTGTCCACAACACACGCACACGTGCCCACACCCCCGTCTTACAGGAGACAGCTGCAACTCGCTGAGGACCTCACCAGGGCATCAATGTTCAGGGAAAAAGCAGAGGCTCTCCCTGGAAGACACCACGGCCACAACCTGGTGGCAGCGTGCGCACCCGTGCCCAAGCCCACCCATCCCGTTACCAGGCCCTGCACAACAGACAGAGCAGGCATGGCCATGGGGCAGAGCCCTCCCATCTCAGCAACTTGCTCCCCTTTAAAGAGGCTGCATCGTGCCATGGGACAAGGACTGCGCATGGCTAGCGATGCCCATCCTAGCAGCCTGCCGTGCTGCTGCTTGCCCCGCTGCCCTCACTGGAAGAGCCAGTGCCGAGAAGCCCACTGCAAGCAGCCCTGGCTGGGAAGGTGCTGTCCTGCCCCGGGCTAGAGCTGGCTGGAAGGCGAGGCCTCCAGTGCACGTGCCCCCATGCAGCGCTCTCCTGTCCCTTGTTAAGGCTGATAGGCAGCAGCTTCCCCCAGATGCCCTGCTGGGATCCCCGCTTCCTGCCCAGCATCGCTGCCAGCCCCATGGCAACCATGGCTGCCTCCCACATGCGGGGGGAAGGGAAGGGATCTCAGGGCAGGTGGCCAGGATCTCAGCAGGCACCATGAGGCTGGGAGAAGGGGCTACAGAGCCAGAGCAAGGACAGGAACCGGTCCTTGTGGGCACCATTGTCTGGTGCAGGAGGACGGGCATGCGGTCCCTCAGAGCCATCCTGAACCTGCTGGCAGGCACCTGTGCCCCAGCCCCTCCAGCAGCCCTGCCTAAGGGGACGTGGGCTCCCTGCGTGGCAGCCCCGGCACCCTGGGGATTCACCCCCAGCAGACGGCTGCTGGCAAGCGGCTGTGTGGGGGCCAGGCACTGCCGGGGAGGCAGGGAGGCGGGCCGG